GGTCCATGTGTACAGTTTTGGACGCTGATTCCGACGGTGAAGTCTGTTTTTCGCCACATATTATACTTTGGCTCCTAGAGGCATTCAGATTCACTTTCAGAATCACATTCGGACCCCCTTAGATTTTCATAAAAACTGGTCCACGGGTACAGTTTTGGACGCTGATTCCAATGGTGAAGTCTGTTTTTCGACACATATTATACTTTGGCCCCTAGAGGCATTCAAAGTTTTTTGGGGCGAAGGGGGACCCCATTAGATTTTCATAAAAACTGGTCCATGGGTACAGTTTTGGACGCTGATTCCAATGGTGAAGTCTGTTTTTCGCCACATATTATACTTTGGCCCCTAGAGGCATTCAAAGTTTTTTTGGGGCGAAGGGGGACCCCCTTAGATTTTCATAAAAACTGGTCCATGGGTACAGTTATGGACGCTGATTCCAATGGTGAAGTCTGTTTTTCGCCACATATTATACTTTGGCCCCTAGAGGCATTCAAAGTTTTTTGGGGCGAAGAGGGACCCCCTTAGATTTTCATAAAAACTGGTCCATGGGTACAGTTTTGGACGCTGATTCCAATGGTGAAGTCTGTTTTTCGCCACATATTATACTTTGGCCCCTAGAGGCATTCAAAGTTTTTTTTGGGGCGAAGGGGGACCCCCTTAGATTTTCATACAAACTGGTCCATGTGTACAGTTTTGGACGCTGATTCCAACGGTGAAGTCTGTTTTTCGCCACATATTATACTTTGACCCCTAGAGGCATTCAATTTTTTTTTTGGGGGGGCTTAGGGGGACCCCCTTAGATTTTCATAAAAACTGGTCCATGGGTACAGTTTTGGACGCTGATTCCAATGGTGAAGTCTGTTTTTCGCCACATATTATACTTTGGCCCCTAGAGGCATTCAATTTTTTGGGGGCGAAGGGGGACCCCATTAGATTTTCATAAAAACTGGTCCATGGGTACGGTTTGTACCCATGGACCAAAACTGTACCCATGGACCAGTTTTTATGAAAATCTAAGGGGGTCCCCCTTCGCCCCAAAAAAATTTGAATGCCTCTAGGGGCCAAAGTATAATATGTGGCGAAAAACAGACTTCACCGTTGGAATCAGCGTCCAAAACTGTACACATGGACCAGTTTTTATGAAAATCTAACGGGGTCCCCCTTCGCCCCAAAAAACTTTGAATGCCTCTAGGGGCCAAAGTATAATATGTGGCGAAAAACAGACTTCACCATTGGAATCAGCGTCCAAAACTGTACCCATGGACCAGTTTTTATGAAAATCTAAGGGGATTCCCCTTCGCCCCAAAAAACTTTGAATGCCTCTAGGGGCCAAAGTATAATATGTGGCGAAAAACAGACTTCACCATTGGAATCAGCGTCCAAAACTGTACCAATGGACCAGTTTTTATGAAAATCTAAGGGGGTCCCCCTTCGCCCCAAAAACTTTGAATGCCTCTAGGGGCCAAAGTATAATATGTGGCGAAAAACAGACTTCACCATTGGAATCAGCGTCCAAAACTGTACCCATGGACCAGTTTTTATGAAAATCTAAGGGGGTCCCCCTTCGCCCAAAAAAACTTTGAATGCCTCTAGGGGCCAAAGTATAATATGTGGCGAAAAACAGACTTCACCATTGGAATCAGCGTCCAAAACTGTACCCATGGACCAGTTTTTATGAAAATCTAAGGGGGTCCCCCTTCGCCCAAAAAAACTTTGAATGCCTCTAGGGGCCAAAGTATAATATGTGGCGAAAAACAGACTTCACCATTGGAATCAGCGTCCAAAACTGTACCCATGGACCAGTTTTTATGAAAATCTAAGGGGGTCCCCCTTCGCTCCCAAAAAATTGAATGCCTCTAGGGGCCAAAGTATAATATGTGGCGAAAAACAGACTTCACCATTGGAATCAGCGTCCAAAACTGTACCCATGGACCAGTTTTTATGAAAATCTAAGGGGGTCCCCCTTCGCCCCAAAAAACTTTGAATGCCTCTAGGGGCCAAAGTATAATATGTGGCGAAAAACAGACTTCACCATTGGAATCAGCGTCCAAAACTGTACCCATGGACCAGTTTTTATGAAAATCTAAGGGGGTCCCCCTTCGCCCCAAAAACTTTGAATGCCTCTAGGGGCCAAAGTATAATATGTGGCGAAAAACAGACTTCACCATTGGAATCAGCGTCCAAAACTGTACCCATGGACCAGTTTTTATGAAAATCTAAGGGGATCCCCCTTCGCCCAAAAAAACTTTGAATGCCTCTAGGGGCCAAAGTATTATATGTGGCGAAAAACAGACTTCACCATTGGAATCAGCGTCCAAAACTGTACACATGGACCAGTTTTTATGAAAATCTAAGGGGGTCCCCCTACGCCCAAAAAAACTTTGAATGTCTCTAGGGGCCAAAGTATAATATGTGGCGAAAAACAGACTTCACCATTGGAATCAGCGTCCAAAACTGTACCCATGGACCAGTTTTTATGAAAATTTAAGGGGGTCCCCCTTCGCCCCAAAAAACTTTGAATGCCTCTAGGGGCCAAAGTATAATATGTGGCGAAAAACAGACTTCTCCGTTGGAATCAGCGTCCAAAACTGTACCCATGGACCAGTTTTTATGAAAATCTAACGGGGTCCCCCTTCGCCCCAAAAAAAACTTTGAATGCCTCTAGGGGCCAAAGTATAATATGTGGCGAAAAACAGACTTCACCATTGGAATCAGCGTCCAAAACTGTACCCATGGACCAGTTTTTATGAAAATCTAAGGGGGTCCGAATGTGATTCTGAAAGTGAATCTGAATGCCTCTAGGGGCCAAAGTATAATATGTGGCGAAAAACAGACTTCACCGTTGGGATCAGCGTCCAAAACTGTACACATGGACCAGTTTTTATGAAAATCTAAGGGGGTCCCCCTTCGCCCCAAAAACTTTGAATGTCTCTAGGGGCCAAAGTATAATATGTGGCGAAAAACAGACTTCACCATTGGAATCAGCGTCCAAAACTGTATCCATGGACCAGTTTTTATGAAAATCTAAGGGGGTCCCCCTTCGCCCCAAAAAACTTTGAATGCCTCTAGGGGCCAAAGTATAATATGTGGCGAAAAACAGACTTCTCCGTTGGAATCAGCGTCCAAAACTGTACCCATGGACCAGTTTTTATGAAAATCTAAGGGGGTCCTCCTTCGCCCCAAAAAACTTTGAATGCCTCTAGGGGCCAAAGTATAATATGTGGCGAAAAACAGACTTCACCATTGGAATCAGCGTCCAAAACTGTACCCATGGACCAGTTTTTATGAAAATCTAAGGGGGTCCGAATGTGATTCTGAAAGTGAATCTGAATCTGAGGCTGTCTTGACAGACGTTTACAGTTTAAGGCTCGACATTGTGTTGTCTACGATTAGACAGCTGATAACTCATTCCCGTACGTCGTATGGTCGTAACACTATAATGACCTTTGCTTATTGTCACAAGTGCGCCGCATTCGCGATTGTTGCCCGACGCCTGTTTGCAGGTGAGCCCACTACAGTTGTTATACATATCTAAAAACCGATAAACTTTTAGGCGAAAAAGGCACTATTCCAGGCCCATTTTTGATTTTTTTTGCGATATTAGGTAAAAACAGAAGCTTCTTATCCTAGGAAAAATAAAACGGGAAATCTTTCAAAGGTGGCACACTACCTTTAAAATGGCAATCTCGGATTTTCCATAAAATGCGTTTTTCACCCCTAAAAATTCAAAAAAACTGTATTTTTTGGAAAACAGCTAATAAAATCCAAAATTTTGAGAATTTCCAAAAAACCGGAATATATGTTATAGAGATCTATTAGAACATTAGATGTCCCAAATTTCAACTTTCTATCTTGATTTTTGACCCCCAAATTGTAAAAAATAGCTCCAACATGCATAGGGCATGGTGACGTCATAAGCATTTTCGCGAATTAGAGGCACTTCTGAACATCGCATGTGAAAACAAATGGCACCACTAGATTCCTGAGACAAAGCTCGTCTAGAAAAGTGCATTTTTATGTCAAAAATAAAAAGTTGAAAAATTGACATTTTTTTCTTAGCCCTCGTTTAGTTATGTATGGAATAAACGATTTTTTATGCTTTCAATGCACACTTATCACCAGCACAGTGACTTGGGGTCACATATAACCATTACCATCGGATTTGGCGTGAAAAATAAGCCATAAAACATGTGTCGCACGCCCATGTATCAGAAAGTGAAAACCGTGACCTTTCGTGACCTGACCTGACCTTGATCCGTACTTAGTATGACCCCTATACGCACATGGTACCTTCACTAGGTCTTTGAGGTCATTTGTGGTGAGTTTCGAGCAGCAGCTATCGATTCCGCTGTCCGTAAGCCTAATCATGCAAAACCCCTGAATTTGACCTTTGACCTGACCTTGACCCGAATGTTGACCTCAATCTTAAAATCTTAAGAGCGCTTTGGGAAGGTCTCGTAGAGACCTTTCGAACGCCGCCTCGCGGGGCTCGATACGACCATTGGTTCTCGAGATAACAGGGGGGGGGGGGGGTCGGATCCGACCCCCCCCCCAGGCTGATGTGGGTACGGAAATAGCCCAGGCGGTGCCGGGTTAACACCTTCACAGGCTCTATTTTCTAACAGGTCACCAAGCTATAGCGACATCTGCTGAGGTAACTCGCAATCACGCCTGTTCGGGCTCCCGGTCCGTCTTGGCGTCGAGCCAGAAAGGCGCACGGAGGGTTAAAAAGGAAATAGGTAATGTTGAAACAAACAAAGAGTATGGGAAGTATAAAGTAAATAAGAGCGCTGCGCCAATGCAAACTTTGGACATGGCGTCCAAAATTAATATGTGTTCAGGAAAGCTACGCGGTACTGCTTTTTCTATACGTACAAAAAAAAAAAACAATAAAAAATAAAACTATATAGGGTCTTCAGAATAACCCATGGTCAAAACCAAACCTTTGATAGGGCAAAAGTAAACGGGAAGTTATGGAAAGGAACACAAAAATTGACCCAAACAGTGAACGTCTTATATATTACAAAACCGAAAACATCGATAAACAACGCGGGTTACATTTAAATAGATGCGTTCATATCAAACAAGAAGTATTTAAGCTAACGTTTTTAAATGCATCTTTAATACTGCAAATAAGCAATGCTACGTATTTATGCGTTGCTTGCAAAAGTCACTGCAAGTTATAACAATGCGATATTCATGAAGAGAACATGCGAATGAAGCAATAACATATGTGTATATATTATGCAAACTTATGTTTGCGTGCTGCACACATAAGTGAAAATAAATGTAGGTACATACAACCATAGGTATAGATAACATGAATCATGTTATCATATCATGTCAACACATGCACCATGTTTTTTACAGCCATGCAAACGAACTTCTTATTGTAGTACAAATGCAAAACGAACTACTGCACCTATAGCTACTGCATTTTAAGTATGGAAAACAGCTTTATCTATCGCTTATGACCTGAAATTGACTTTAAACGTAATAAATTTGCCGAAGTTCTTTTTTATACGCACTACCTGCAATGACGAGTTTAAGTATTTATCTCGCGACAGTTGTCCGGCATAGGCAAAATTACACACTCACATAAATAAACAGTCACAATAAAAACGATAATTCGGCGACTGAATAAATAACGTATCCAACCAATAACATTAATGTGACACATAGCATCGAGTAGAGGGACGCTTACCAAGTTCATGCAAGTGCCTAAAAATTGATCAACATTGAAGACCTAATTTGCAAAGCTTGAAACAAAAGTAACAGGTACGTTAGTAAAATCACCACGATTAGGTATAACTAAAAGAGCATTCACCTCGATCGGGTAAGCAAAAACAGTTCGTAATGTCATAAAATAACGCCAATTTTATAGCATTTGCCGTCAAAATCTTTGCTTAGTCAGCATGTTAAGTGTCTTCCAATGAAGTTATTTTACCGTTTTCTTTATATGCATCCCGTTTTCTACGGTATCGCGAGCTATCATAGCCCCACAGCACACCACCTCACGAGTCTCTGACTCTCGACCAGAGCGCCCTCTAAGCTGTAGTTTCACTTTCGTCCGCTGCGCGGCGCCTCCGTCCCAGCAGACCCAGCGCCCCGTTATTGTTCCGGTTGTGGCCGTCGTCGGAGCGAGTGGTGCTGTACAGAGGCAGGCGAGCGTGACTGGATGACTTGAACTTGTCCCGGGCCGCGTCATACAGGAACGAGTCAAACTGAAACGAAACGAGGAGGCTTAAAATGAGAAGAAAAAAACAAGCAAGGATAGGAAAATGGCACCGTTAAAAATCCTTTAGGGATTAATTGACATGTAAATATGACTACCCCACGTCGGGTGGAACCCAGCTTTCATCAAAGTGCAGGCTGTAGCTGGGTCTACCGGAGTGTGAACACTGACCTGGGTCCTGGAACACCGTTCCATGCTTCTATCCTCAGGATACTGAAATCCTTCTCCTCCACACCGCCACCCCCCTCCGGGCTGGACAGGCAACTTTATCTCATGCGGGCTGCTCCCTTGGAGCGGCACCGCTGCTCCCGAGGGAGCGCACCCCGTAGCCGGGTGCAGTGAGTGCCTTGGGGCTGGGTGGCCTGTCCTCTGGACGGGCTCAGCCCCGGCGACTCACTAGCGTGCCTGCCCAGACCAATGTCTCCCCCTATATCCTATCATCCTCCCGGCTCTGAAATGGTCTTACTGGACCGAAAGAGCCTAACCCAACAAAACAAACATGGGGCTGTACAAGCTTTCAACCAGCTCCCAGTTACCGAGTCAGGTGTGTCCTTCAAACACCAGCTAAAGCAGCATATTTTTAATATAAGGAGTGTTTAAAACATCGTCACGTGCATCCGTGTGGCCACTTTGGCCGACCTCTTCCTGTTTTTTAACGTTTGAATTGCTGACGTGCGATTGTGAAAAACCATGTGTGATAATGTGGATCTTTCGCCAAATAAATCTGAAATCTGAAACAAACAAACAAACTGACCTGGAACAGGTTATGTAGCGCTGTGTTTGCCCGGTCCGTGTCAGAGGTGGTAACGTTTCCACGGTAACGCAGCGACGCCATCAGAGGACTGAAGACAAGAACAGATAGTGTTTGGTTAATAGAACTGTCAGGTCAGGGACAGAACAATATCGGTGGGAGATGCGAACATTGCCTAAATTTCAGAACGCTTGCGCGGTAGATTAGAATAGAGCTAGAGAATCATAATAAAGTTATTAGATTTGTTTCGTTGTTCAAGGCTCTGTGCACCTCTGAATCAAGAGCAACATCAAGAGTAATATTCTTTCTTCACAATATCGGATCATTGCCAGTAAACCAAGTGAAGATTAGAAGAGTCAGACATTTCGTTTTTCATTGTCAAATTTCATTTGTATTGTCATTGTCTGTGAGAAAAACGAAACCAAGTGAACTCTTTCACAGCATACAGACCATCCGAGGACGAAGTCGGCCATGTCTGCCCCGATGTAGGAGATTTGTGTGACGGTGTCCATCTGAATCGGAGGAATCTCCGTGGCCAGCGATCGGACCGCGAACCGGCTCTCGTAGAAGTTGACACGGTATATCAGAGGTCCCAGCAGCCACCGACCGCGTACCTGGAAGTGAACAGGTCAGTTCAGAGGTCAGCAGATCACTTGAGGTCAGTGGCCGACGGCCGAGTACATACTACATAGGTACCTGGAGATAGACAGGTCAGTTCAGAGCTCATCAGGTCACCTGAGGTCAGTGACCCTGGAGATGGGATAGTTCATTCCAGAGGCCAACTCTGTTTAGCTATCGCACATCCTGAAACCTACATACTCTTATCGCACCTGTTAAAAGTGTCACAATTAAAGGCTTGATCGAGTCAATGCGCAAAGCGGTAAAGGTGAGACAACTGTGTGGGCCGCTGAAAAGCAGCGATCTGGCACGTGCATACATTTGCACTGGTCATCTCACCACAGCATAACGTCTCGCTCCGTCAACCGCGGATAACGTCCGTTACATCATAAATTATCTCCGCCTGAGAAACGGCTACACACGGTGACCGTTTGTATGCACAGGCCTGCTGTGAGGTGTGACCGGGATGGGAGAATGCGCGGCTCTGCGCGGCTCTGCGCGGCTCTGACAGAGGTCTGCCAGAACCGCTACATCCGCCAAACCTCAGCTGGCGGTCAACGCGAGATAGAGCTCTGACATCTCTGACTCTGACGGCCCCGGAGATACAGCGGTGGCGGAGAAAGACGACTGATATTTATATGCATGTCGCTTTTGTGGCTCATAATCTACCTTGCAAGTCGAAGAAGGTAAGTTTTTTTAACACTAGAGCTGTTAAAAAACGAATTTTGGAGAAGCACACGGGCTCAATGAGCACATTGTATTTTTTTTCAAACATGTGCCTTTCATCGTTCACGTGCCCTCTTTTCTCCGTATCCGTTTCATATTACGGGACATCCCGACCTGTCAATACGGGTCAGACCGACCCGTGGCCAGGTCAGGCACCAGAGCGTGACACATATACCAGTCATATCTCCTGTCCTGCACCGGGACACGCTGCCACTGAGCCGGGCTGACCTCGGCGGGTCACGTGGTCAGCTCCGTGGCCGGCCCACGCGGTCACGTGGCTCACACTGCACGGTTGGCTGGCCACCGCCGCGCCGGGGCCGGTGGTTAAACGGTGCCGATGTTGGTTTGGCGGCCCAGCTAGGTGCATCTGTGCACGACGGCGGAGTCGGCCAACACACGTGCGGGTATGATATAGAGGTACAGGTGCACCGAGCATAATTAGGTGGTGCAGATGTCCGCAATGGGTTAAGCATGCCACTCCAGATAGACGATATGTTTTATGGTCTTAGGTGTCAGTGATCTCTCAAAGGTCTGGGGAAACCCTGAGTGACGTCAAACGTACGGGTTCTGCAGTTTGCAACTACTGAAACGAGGCAGAAATAGCTCGGAGGCTTTGGATGATAAATCACTCACGGAGTCACGTCGTCTTTCACTCCGAGAAAGTTTCGGCTCGGCACGGACGATATACCGGAGAAATGGACTGGAAAATTAGCTGCTGCACGTTTGAGTGCTGCACTTGAACGAAAACGTGACCTGAAAAGAGCTATTTCCTGATGGCTCTATTGTTACGAATAAGTCATTACGGTTCAACGATGATGACGGGACGTTTACTCTCAGGGTTTGAGTGTGCCTCAAAGTGTTTTGCAAAGAGTTCAGATGAACACAGTGAGAGTGAGGCTTACCAATGTGATGTTGGAGGCTACCTGGACCTCGACGTCTCCCCTCCTGTTGATGTTGGTCAGACCCTCCAGTAGAGCGGTGGAGTAGGCACGCGTCGGCGCCAGCCTGGGGGCGACAGAGATAGAGCAAATGACAGCAAATGCCTCTAAATACAGCTCAGATTTCAGAGAATTAATGGTGATATCCCTATCGCTGACGTTTCTTGTTCAAGATGACATCAGCACAACGATCATTTCAGTCTAACCACCATATCAGCTCACAAGCTCGTCATACCAACAGTCATAATAAAGCTCAGTTTAGTGGCATTCAAATAATGCATGCTGTCTTTCTATCGTTACACTCAGCCAACTGTACTTGACCTACCGCAGCTTCAAGTCACTGTTCAAGCTTCAGTGGTAATTTCGTCCCATGTCTCTCTCTCTCTCTCTCTCTCTCTCTCTCTCTCTCTCTCTCTCTCTCTCTCTCTCTCTCTCTCTCTCTCTCTCTCTCTCTCTCTCTCTCTCCTCTCTCTCTCTCTCTCTCTCTCTCTCTCTCTCTCTCTCTCTCTCTCTCTCTCTCTCTCTCTCTCTCTCTCTCTCTCTCTCGTTCTCTTTCGTGCGTAACTCACTGTCGTTTGTTCCTGTGCCGGCCCGTAGACGCGTCCCGCCGACCTCTGGCCACCACTCCGTCACTCTCTGCACCCATCAGACGGGCCAGCGGGTCCGTCACGGCCGTGATACCCACCCCGTTATTGGAGTTGTCCCGGCCGTGCACGTTCTCATGGGCTCTGGGGAAAAAACAAAATTGAGTCGTGATGCAATTCGATATCGATGATTCAAAGGTACTTTAAGAACAATGTTGATATTTATTAGCAAAGCAATCAGAAAAAGTTGACAGAGCTAACATCAAGCTATGTTATTGCAATGTAAGCCAATATGGTTTATCTGTGAATCATGTGAATACAACACATTCATTTACTGTAAGCCCACGTGACTCCGCCACGCCTGTGAACCATAACCCACGTGACTGCACGGAGCCCTTCGCCTATAACCCACGTGACTGAGAACTACTCATTGCCTAAAACCCACGTGACTGATCCTCGGCCGTTGACGCGGAAGTAGACGGGGTCGAGGTTATCGGCGCGCAGCTCGGCCACCATGTTGGTGATGATGCCGTCAGCGAACGTGTTGAAACGCGCGTCCGGGATGTACAGACCCTGGTAGATGATGCTAGGACCTGAAACAGGGTTTGGGTTACAGCTTAAACTGGACGGACAACTGTGTTGTCCGTGTATGGCCATCGCCCATCGGTATGATATTGTAAGATTGTGCCGTTTATACAAATAAGAACATAGCACCGAAGCGTATGGTCACCGATATAACTTGTGACCAAATCGATTGCTGAAATATTGTGAAAAACCTTACTTAGATTTAAAAAAAAATCATTTAGGAATGAGTCAAACAAGATTGTTTTACTTCTACTGATAGAAGAGATCACTTTTTTGCTGCATGAATTTTCATGAATTTATTGCATGAATTTACATGCCGCGTGAAACGCTCACCATTTCTGCCTGGATAGAGGTTCTGATTTCTGTTCCTTCGCCGGTTGCCCCCAAACAGTTGTCTCTTGTCTCGGTGATGTGTCTCCTGTGTGGTTTCGTCCAATCTCTCCTCTCTACTCAGACGCAGCGCTTCTTCTAACGACTCCACCTGAAAGTCACTAACATCAGCTGTGGCAGCCGATACTAGGAGCACCAGAATTGCCAGCAGCAGCGTCCTCACTCTCGGCACCAGGTGCATGACGGCAATCGCTCTGTGAACAGATGAGGGAGATAGCAACAGATTCAGTGATAGTTATTAGGTGCGAGCATGCAATAGGTACTTATTGATCTAATAAATACTTTTATTACCAACGCTAATGACTGAACAGTGAACTCACTGAACAGCAGCTAATTGTAGGCATTTGCCAATTTGAAAACTTCAAGTCTTGAATAAACAATAGAGATTTGCTATCGACATGGAAACTTAGCATTAAATAAATATTTGTTGGTCAGTGTCACTAAACCAGTTGAACATTTATTATATTGAGACAACTTCATGATTACTATGTGTGAAAAACATTATCATGTACAACGTGATCCTGTCCCTATTCTAGCAATTTACAGCAAGTGATTCAATAAATCAGCAGGCGAAAAGCCCGGCCACGGGAGACTGCAGCGCCGGCTGTGTGGCTATCCTCCCACCCGCCGGCGACTGCAGTCTCGCACACGCCACTAACACCAGCTGCAGTCGCCGCCGTGGACCCTCGTGTCGCCCCCTCCGCCCCGCCGCCCGGCCCATGCCCTCACGAACTCGGAAGTGTAACGGGCTGGTGCTCTCCCCACACTCTGTAGCAAGGGTCAGAGTTACATTCGACACGCATGGCTACCCTCGCTGCCTCTCCACGTCGGTCGGTCGGCTGCCGATTTGCATACGCGTCGGAAGAAATCTGCATCGGTAATTCAGTGGGTGGGCTGGAGTTAGCGGAGCGTAGAAAGGTGGCTATCTAGACAGATAGGTGCTCGTACTAAACAAGCCCACTGTGATCCGTTTCGATAATTTACAGATAAATGATTAATGGCATACATGGTCCTAACGGCACTAAAACCGCTGTTTAAGCCTTTTTGTGATCGTCATGAATTTGGTAGTGCCAGCGACAATGATGCAATATCTGATCACCTACTTTTTCTGATATAAACATAAACCTTAAACAAAACACTGACGAGGTCTGGAATGGTTCGTGTTCCCTGTACATTGCCCTGTCTGTGGAACTTTGTTTCAGCCGCCACAATTATCAGTCATCGCTGCTTGTGGGCCATTTTATCGGAAGGCTGCCATCTCTCCTGGAATCCCCACCAGCCGCCTCACAGGTCACCAAACGCCACCTCAATCCTCCCCAACTGCCTCTCTGTCGGGAAGTGTGTCACCGGTAGGCGAGACGGCCCTGTCACGCCGGGGCGGCCCGGACGATTTGCTCAGTCACCGCTGTGGGCCGGTCTGTGACCTGGTGACACGACAGTCCGTGACTTGTGTCTCCGCCGCCCATCGAGTCAGTTCCTGTGATCTTCTTCGCACCACGAGTTTACTCGACGATCAATGGGCGGGCGTAGAAGTCACCACTGAAGCTACGTCAGCTCCCGAATCGCTCCGTCGTCATTTCCGTGACGAGTGTAAATGTATCGCCAAACAATAATAGGGGAAGGTGGGGTAAGACGGACCAGCTAAGGTTTGAGGCCGCATATCTTGCTACACTGCTCTCGTAATTCATATTATTTATAGTCTTCGGAATGCTCAATCCTTCCTCTGTTGATATGTGTAAAGACTAAATTTCAAATTAAAGACATCTAGGTGGTGGATGCTCTTAAAGAGGGACATGTCAAAAACTCAGACAAGAAAAAACGTGGGGTAAGACGGACCACCCAGCAGTGCCTGCTATCCGTTCATGTGTGTTACACTTCTGCTCTCTACTCTTGTAAGAAAAAGTAACCAGAATGGTAAAATAACAAAATGAGCCTTTATCCTTTACTCATGTGTGATGGAAGTGCAGCTAAAAGCTGGGAACATGTGTGTTTATTGTCGTTTGGCATGAATGCATGCTAACTGAGCACTTGCATGCATGGCTCACATGCAACAAAGACTCCTTCCTGAAAAATTAGCTTACTTAAACTTGTGTCAATGTTTTGGAAAAGAACTTTCCATATGCAGGGTACAATGGACCACCACAGGGTAAGATGGACCGTCCGTCTTGCCCCAAATCTAAATTCTGTCATTATCATGACGTATATGTCAAATAGCCCAACATTGCAAAACCTTGCCTTTCCTAAAGTGTGACTATAACTAAGTTTATAACTTTGTTCTTCACAGTTAAGTGCAAAATAGAAACTAATCATGCAAGAAAGGCGCCGTAATTGAATCACCCGTAGACCTCTTATATTAGATCGGTTTGACGAAAAACAACATTTTTCTCAATAACTCAAAGGCTATGCATCCTAGCAGCATGAGCTCAAGGTGGCCATTGCTATACGAAGGAAAACAAACATAGTGAGTGCATAAAGCAGTAGATACCAGCAGCGGTTCAGCCGGGAGGGCTGGTGGTCCGTCTTGCCCCGCTGGGCCGTCTTACCCCACCTTTCCCTACATACCTACAATATATATTTTTTCATGCTACATATAAAAGGGTGACACATATTTACACACAGTTCTCACGCGCATGCGTCTGTGCGACGGTGTGTGACGCGATCGCGTTACGGTCTGTCACCTATGTGTGCCCCATCGTGACGCACTAGTTGGAGCCCAGGCTGCCCATTTCTGCGCGGATTTGCGGCAATTTGGGACGGAGGTCCGGGTCGACGCGACAAGTCGTGACCGTGTGGCAGGTCGGCCGAAACGAACGACAGTCAGCGATGGAGAGTGTTGAGGGCGGTCAAAACTGGGTTAGTGGGCAATGCGCGGAGATATTTGGTTCGATCTTGCTTTGAGGCGTCCACGATTTGTCAAAGTAAAGAACCGTTCTCACGCTCCTATACCAAAGGGAGTTTGTGCGGAAGCCTCCGCCACCCTCGCTACGCCACGCTCGGCTCTTTCGTCACTTTCGTAGACATGATGGTGGCGTTCATTTCACGCATCTCATCTGCACATGTGTATGTACAACTTTGAGTGTTGTATGCATGTAATAATAGCCGTTTTTACGACGGGCTATCTGGTGAATGCACCTATTTTGACCAAATCTGCACTACTGTTAACGCCAGACCCCTTGAGACCCTAATTTTTCGCGATTACTTTTAAATGCGTTAAGGAATTTCAACCAAGCTCAGGACATGGCCGTTTCAAGACAGGCCGAAGCTTTTACAATTTAGATATTTTATCGCCATTTCAATATTTCAGGCACTTGTCATTGACTCGTAATGTTAAATTTCGAGCAAGATTTTCATCCGGTGTGTAGAGGCTATCACCAGTCAGTCTGTGATACGTTATGACGTCACAGCTAAGCCCCGCCTCTGTGGTCTTGGCCTGCGGCGGTTTCGGGCCGGCGCGCGGTCACTCTCGCTGTGGCCGGGAGCGGGGACGGGCGACGGTCGAGCGGTGCCGAAAGCCGGCGGAGTTGTGCGTAGCGTCTTGGCTGACAGTGCCCAGAGAGCGACATGATGACTAAGGAGTCATAAATGCTCAATGCGCATTGCTTCTACAATGCTGATATGTTCGCTGATATTTTTTTTTTATAAGCTGCATATTGACGGGCAGATGGCATATCAGTTGGTGACATACCAGGGAAATAAGCTAAAATTAGAGCACTCTATTTATTGCTCCTGCCCCATGTTGAAGAGATACCCCTAAAAGCGTGATCTTTTATCGGCCCTTACGCAGCAAGGCAGTAATTCTCAGACCGGTGGATGGTATCAATAGAAAGAGAATGCGTCAAGGATTAACATGAATTAATTAAAATAACATTAAAATGTTAATTAAGCGTGGAAATTAGTCCCAAACATAAGCTAATTATTGCTCCTACCTCGGCGACGGCGCTCCCCGCAGTCGGCGGAGAAGCTAAAATAAAAGCCACCATCCTCCTCCGCAAGTCAATTTTAGAGCGGCCGAGTGGGCCGATGCGGGGCCACCAAACTGAGGTGAGACGTGGCTAGTAATTGCAAACCGCCATAGAAATCAATATCTTAAGACGTACAATATGGGATGATTACTCTGAAGCTGGAGTGAAAGCATGAGTAGATTGCAAGAAACAAAATGCATAGATTGGTTGAATTATGTACAATAGGCACAGCTCAGATGAAGCCATTTCTATGATGTTGACATATGACATAACCCTTCCTCTCCTCACCTATGACCTAAGTGCATTGGCAGTTACCGGCATAGTTTTTGAGCACGAGTGCAATTCGCCATCGGACCGCAATACATGTTGCTAGGCTGCTGCAATTACAACGAACATACGAATACTGCCTTCATTTGTAGACGTTTGTTTTTTAGGCGGTCTTTGACGTGCAAGGGGGCATACCTGTCGACAACTTGAGTTTCTCCGAATTTCAAAAACTCCCAGAATTTCAATTCCTTATGCACTGTTGTAGGTACAGCTATGTTCACAAGTTTTCGTTTCCTCCTGTTCTAAAAAAGGATGATATTTGTCGATTTCGTGCGTCGCTGATAGGAGGGTGCGTTTAATAATTAGGCCCAACGCTTTCTGCATCCGCGAGTGGGTATCTTCAAAAGGGAACAACAGTTTCCATCAGACTTGTGATCAGCTCAGTTGAGCCGGCTCAAAAATCAGCTCAGCTCATGAGCCGGCTCAACATTTTGCCAAATTGTTGAGCTGTGAGCTGAGCCGGCTCAGTAATGCATTGAGCTGAGCTGCTGTCTGAGCTGAGCTGAATGAGCTTGAGCTGAGCTGAGCTGAATGAGCTTGAGCTGAGCTGAGCTGAGCTGAGCTGAGCTGAGCTGAGCTGAGCTGAGCTGAGCTGATTGAGCTGAGCGAGCTGAGCTGAGCTGAGCTGAGCTGAGCTGATTGAGCTGAGCTGATTGAGCTGAGCTGAGCTGATTGAGCTGAGCTGAGCTGAGCTGATTGAGCTGAGCTGAGCTGAGCTGAGCGAGCTGAGCTGAGCTGATTGAGCTGAGCTGATTTAGCTGAGCTGAGCTGATCTTGTTCTAATTCTTTTCAGTTCATGCTTGGAAATTAACTCAGGATTTGATGCTTCAGCTATGAGCTAGCTATGGAGTGAGCAATTACACTGCCTTCGTGATCGCACTTAAAAATATCAAAACTCTAAAGAA